GATTTAATTAAAACAAACACAGTAATTGAAAAGATTGCTCAAATGTGAATAAATCTTCATTCTCCTGTTATAATACAAACAACTGACTTACTTAAAGCAATTACGGTGATCGAAAAAGATAGTTAACACACGTATAAATCTTTATTTGCATGTTGTACAAACAAATAACTTACCTAAAGCAATCACAATGATCGAGAGAAGGTAGCTCAAATGCGAATAAATCTTCATACTCTCGTTACAATACAAACAGTATAATTGACTAGTTACCTCAAGCAAACATGGTAATTGAAAAGGGCAGCTTAGAAGCGAATAAATCTTCATACGCTCATTTATAAAGCAGACAATTAACTTACCTAAAATAATTACAATGATCGAAAAGACAGTTCAAACGCGAATAAATTTTCACATTCAATAGTAAATTAGATCATTATTACATAAGTTAGGACTGGTTTGGTATTGATGTGCTTTGAAAAAAAAACTACTTCTGCTGTGCTGTGAGAATAAACTCATTTTTTTGTCAATTCACGATTTCAGTTTTTTTTCACAAAAAAACTATGAAAATAAGTTGTTTTTAAGTGTTTACCAAACACGTTTTTGAGCTCAATTTTTTTTATACCCAAACATTTTTTTAAGCTCAGCTTTTTTTTATACCAAAATACTTTTTTGAGCTCAGTTTTTTTTTATACCTATTTTTTTTTATAAAAACATCTCACTACCAAACCAGTAGTTAAATTTAAATTGCAACCATACTCCATGTCTAACTAATTGTGTTATAGGATTCCATGCAAGAATAACTAAACAGAGAGTGGGTGAAAGTGAAAAGTACTGTTAAAATGGTCCACAGTAGTGGTCTTGTCGTTTTCCCCCCTCTCTCTCTCTCTCTCTCTCTTAATTTCAGACTGTCTCTCACTAGCTCTGTGAGTCTGATTCATATTCATAAGCATCAAGGAGCTGAGGAATTAAAAGAGCTAACGTGCGGGCTTCTGCAACGCTCTGATCTGATACAACAACGCTTGCCCCAACCAAAGCAAATAGCATTGCCTTTCCTTTCTCGGATGCAATCCACTGATTAGAAACAAGCGGGAGACCAAAATTTTAAATTAAATAATGTATTATCGATGAAAAAATAAGTACGTTAATCAATACTTAATAGATACATGCTTTTACTGATCATCAGTTTTTTGTTTTGTTTTTTTAATCCAGCTTCCCACCAATTATATTCAAGTTTTTTTTTCCCTTTCAAAAATTAATTTCAACCTTGAATTTAATGCACTTATATGTTTTAAGGAACTGAAATAATGGAGAAAATGTACACGGAATCTGTTCCTTCTACTTTTTCTGCTCATTGATATGTTCCTTTCTTAATCAAACTAAACAGTGAAAACAGTAACTTTACTATTATACAGTAAATTAAGCCACCATGAATGTACCTCCACAAATCTTATGTTTTTATAAGTATAAAGTCTTGAGCTCGAGTTTGATACCAAATAATAACTAACTCATTGTGCGGTTTAATTGAAATCTTACATGTCTTAATGTAATTTATTTTTCCTTTTGGAAACAATACCCTTCGGGTTGAGATAATTTTTTTTTAATAAATTACCGACTCACATGTTAATACATGTGTTTGACATAATTAATATGTAATAAATTTAAAATTTACGTGTTATAATATAAATGTATATAATACCATGTCTAATCGTGACTATTGTACTAGGAGATTTTTGGGATTCTGCATTTTGGATGACACATCTACTTCACTACCTGAGGATACCTAACCTCCATGGCTCACAAATTTAATGGGACGTTACTCAATTATGTTAGGCATGTCAGGAGTGTGATTATTTAAATACGAACTGACAAAAGAAGATCCAATGAAAGCATACTGCAAGCAAGCATGACTCCATAAATTATAACTCCACATCAATTTATCTGCAAGGTATTATACAGAATTTTAGGTTATAAATAACAGATTGTGAAAAACCAGATATGACATTTTAAAACTTAGTTCTTCATTCGCTTGAAGTTTAAAGAAGTTTAGCGACGGCCCACACCGAATATGGACCAAACCGTCTCATGGCATTTTTAATCTATGTCACGTAATGTTCTAATATGCTAACAACATAATATTTGGAAGTTACTACAATCTCAGGTGGCAAAGAGGCGACACCAAGGTGCCAAACCTTCTCGTAGATGTCAGCTTCATTAATTGACGGGTGATTATTTGGTATGGAAGTCGAATCTAACATCTACTGTTCTACATACTAAGAGGTAGAAATACCACCTGAAAGTGAGGGTAAGTGATGATAATCCAAGCTCAGGGAAGTACATAAGAGATCAACGACGCCGTTTCGTGTTTCTCGACACTGAATCACTGATCAAACAGGGAAGTGCATGAGAGTTCAACGACGTCGTTTCATGTTTCTCCACTGAATCACTGATCGATAGGTAAGAGGGTCTTGTGCCTACAAAAAAAGGGGCAACAGGTCCTACAATTGTGGGCCCGAAAGATTCAAAAAGATATGGAAAGCGCAAAAGCCCAACTCGTCCAGTCAAACGAAAGCTGTAACATCTAGTTTTTCAACGGTTCAATTGGGTCTACGACCCACTATTTTTAATAATATTGTATTGTTGATATAACCACCAATCACTATCAACCTGGGAGATTGATAGGCCCAATTACAGATATTGTCCCTCTTGGGGTCCATGCAATTGATAATGAGATGTATTTTTCTAAAAGGGCATTTGGGTCATAAAGTATTAACCATTGATCTCAGAAAAACTAACGAAAAATTTAAAAATTTTCTTTTTTAACGAAAAGTTATTTTTAAATGTATAATTAATAGTGACAGTTAAAGATAAAAATGTGATTTTTCGTTAAAAGTGAAGAGTACCGGAATGTTTTGTTAAAACTCTCTATTTTATTTGTGGTAATAACCTATCTATTTTGTAATCACTTAACACTACAGTTTTAATAATTTATCTTTCATCTGTAGGTAGAAGGTTTTAAATTCAATTGTATCCTAGTAAATGTCGTTTTCCGTCACTACGCCTATGCATTCCGGTGAGCGCAATCCTCATCGACTCTCCATCCTCTAATAAGAAAAGCTCCAGCCGCCACCTCTTCCCTTTGAGCCTGGTTGGTAGGTGGCGGTCCTTCCCGTTTCCTCCTCTACCTCTCTCTTCGTCTCTCTCTTTCCCACATCCCCTTAAGTATTGTTTTGCGCGCCATCTCTCCCACGATGGTAGCTTGCCCCAACTCTCCAAAGATGAAGGCATGCCCCATCTCTCCAAAGATAGTGGTTTGCCACAATCCCTGATTGTCGGTATATGTAGGTATGAGTAACGTTTCAATTTGCCACAACCCCTATTTCTTGTTATTGTGCACCAAATTTCCCTTAGCTCCAATTGAACCACAAATCCCTAACCCATACTACAAATCTAGTCCTCAAGACTTTCTTTTTGCAGTCAAAATGCCCGAACAGCCGAACCGAGCTCTTATGTTTGCTACCCACCTCGAGAGCAGATCATCGCTTATTAGTATGAAGGTGTGCGAAACCAAGACCTTGGTTTCCCCACAGAGCGTTGTCCCGCCTCTTTCTCTGGTTATGAATTCATGTCTTATTTTTCAGCGTCAGGACTGTGTTCTTGATGGTCCCTGGGCGATGGATGTAATTGTGAGGGTTGGCTGCTCCAATTGAATGGTAGTTCTTTTTATAAGTAACTTTAACGAAAAGAAGCCAGTACTGTTTATTTTAACGAAAAATCATATTTTTACATTAAAAAATCATAGTACTATTCATTTTACCCTTTATTTTGTTCTTATTATTAAAACTCAAAGTTTTCAAACCTTTTTTATTAGTTTTTTTATTTTATTTTATAATATTGTATGTTTGTGGTTTAACTTTTTTTTATTATTTGCGGCTTTTAAAGTCTGTATATGGTTAAATCTAGGGGTAAACAATTGTTATTTTAGTGTGCGAAATTAGATGTGTGGGATGTTGGTCGCCTCTGGTTTATAGGCAGTTGTGACTTGTCACCATCGCCTACACTTCTACGGTTTTTTCTACTAGCCACTATTGAGCTTCTATTGGGTGGACCGCTTCTATTGGGTGGACCACTGTTGAGGTTTATTATTTTGAAAATTTTAACGAAAAGTTCTTAATACTGTTTACTTTAACGAAAAATTATATTTTTACACTAAAAAGTCAATACTGATACTATTCACTTTACCCTTTTTTTTGTCTTTATCATTAAAACTCAAAATTTTAAAACATTTTTCATTAGTTTTCCTTTTTATTTTTTGGTTGAAGCCCTTTTATGTGTTTCCTTTATGTATTATTTTTGTAAATTCTGCAAATAAGAACCATTACTCATGCTTTGATGGAGATTTTTTTTTCTTTCTATTTGTCATACTTTTCTAGGAATATGTAAAATGTAATTTGTCTATTTGGACTTTGTTTAATGAAGTTCTGTCCCGTTGAACAAAAAAATAAATATAGTGGTATCCTAAAATTTTATTATATAAAAAAATTGGACCTGAAGTTTGGACTTCTTTCATCACATAACACTAAAATTGTTTTTTGAGTTTTCTTTATTACACTCAATGTCATATATTTATTTACATGGCTATGGTAGGATTCCCAAAATGTAATTGTCGAACGGTAGAAATAGGGGCATATATAAGTATAATAAATATATATTATACTATAATAATTGTATGCGATCTATATTGAATTGATGATATAGAAATGATATCATTTCTTCGTAAATACGGTAATAGTTGTATCTTGATTAGTTGAAATTTTATAATAAAAAGGTATGTGTTGTGTTATTATTAAACTATGCCGTATAGTAAATTTATCGTATTCTAATACGTCGAGACCAAAATTTAATATGTGTGACTATTTCATTAAAACTATGAAGTAATTATTATTAGAAAACTCATCAACCTTATTCCAATCACATATAATTATTGGTTTAATTTATAGGATATGCTCTCACAGAAAAGATTGCAACGGGGGACGAATTGAAGCATTTGATGAGAACGAAAGAAAGATCTCTTCTCTCTCTTCACCCACCACTACTTTTCCCCACCCTTCCCCTCCTCCTCTCTCGCCACCTCTCCCCTCACTCTCACCAACTTCAGCCCCCAAACTTGAGACAGAGCCACCGTAATCCCCAAACCTCACCTCCATCAAAACTCCCAATTTCCCGCCAACCAGCTTATCTTTAGCTGCCCATCTCTGTATTTTACCCGACGTCGTTTTAGGCACACACCCACTTCTCACCAGAACCACCGTCCCAACTTCCACTCCCTCTTCCATAACCACACCGTTTCTCACTCCGTCACATATTTTCCTCAAAACTCCAATGTTTTTCTCCATCCTCTGCGTCTCCGCAACCACCACAACGGTGTTCGAAACCTCAAACGCCGCCAAACACCCACCTCTCAGAAATCCCGGGTTGCTGTTATACGCCACCGTCTCTACGTAATGAGGGTGGATTTCCATCCCCACGTCGTCGTTTGGGAGTCTGATCACGTCTACGCATCGGCCCATCACGAAAAGATACCGATCTTCTCCTTTCACGACACCCCTATCGCCAGTTCGAAGAAATGGCCGACTCAACTTGTTCTTAAGTCTTCCGTAATAAACTTCACGAGTTAAATTTGGGTGGGCTAAGTAACCAGACGCATTGCTCGGAGACGAAACCCAAATCTCTCCTTCGATCCCATCCTCGACTGCCTCGTGTGTCTCTTCGTTTACTACCACAATGTTCATGTCCTCCAACTGGTCGTCATTTTCGTTGAGCCTTGCGCTCGGCAGGAGCTTGTTGTGGGATGGCAATGGCGTGTCTGATCGCCACGCAGTTGAAACAAACGTGCAATTCTCTGCCAAGCCATATGATGGAGAAATTGATGACGGGTTTAATCCATAAGGCTTAAACACATCGACAAATTGCTCGACCGCGTCGCGGTAAATAGGCTCGTTGATAATGATAAGATTTTTCATACTCCATAGATTTATAGGTGAAGTTCCTTTGTCAACCCCTCCGCGTTTGACAACGAGCGGCAATGTGAACGACGGAACTGGAGTGCAAGTGGCGTTGAAGTTCGAAATAAGCTCGAGCCAAAGCCGTGGCCTGTTAACAAATGCGCCGGGCGATGTCAAGACACATGTGGCTCCGGACACAATTGTTAGCAACAGAAACATTAGGCCGCAATCGTGGTACTGCGGCAGCCAGGACACGATCACGCTGTTCGGGTGAAGATCATAGGCCTTTCTCGCTGTCCTAACGTTATGTGCAGCTGATCCTGCCGTGACAAGCACCGGCTTTGGGATCCCAGTTGCACCTGAAGTGTATTGAACCAAATACAAGTCCTCTGCTCTGCAGCCATTGTATGGTGAATGTTGTAACGTTGTATCTTTAGTTTTGATGTCGTCTATGGCGATCCATCGAAGATTTTTCAATCTTTGGACAAGATCTTTATCGGAGGATGGCAAAGATATGTAATGCTGAATTCTTGTGATGTAAGTAGAATGAGCTAGGGCAGCTTTAGGCTTTGTTTGGGAGAGGGCTCTTATAAGGTGGTGGAAGTTCTGGTTAGTGAAAGAAGGGTCGGGCGGGGAAACAGGCACGCTCAAAAGGCCGGCTCGTTGGCACCCGAAAATGGTCTCAACGAGCTCGAGGCCTGGCGAGCATAGGATGACAACGGCGTCACCTCTTTGGAGTGGGATGAGCAGTTGAGAAGCAATGCATTGCACTGAGTCATTCATCTGGCCATATGTTAGGGTTGAAGTGGCCTCATTGGCTGAGCCATCCTTCAACCCAAACGAAGGCCGGCTTGGACCGGAAGGCAGGGAGGCTAGCCCATACCGGAAAGTAGAGATCCACCACAGGCTGGTCAGGATAGGAAGGGTCATAATTCTCATAGTTCATCATGGTGGTGTGTGCTTGTTTTGTGTTTTTTTTTTTTCAAGTGGCTTATACAATCACTTGAGTGCATTTTATAGTTTCAAAATAGGCTAAATTGCATTAATAGTCCTCACAATTTAAATGGATTTTCACTTTTAACCATTAATATTTTTGTTGTATTTTCAATTCTGAAGTCTCATGATATAGCGTGAGAGGTGTCCTACATCTGAGTGAGATGATGTACACAAACACAAACATAAAGAACATTGGACCAAAGTGAAAGTAGAAAAAACTACCACAACGAAAACGTAAGAAAAAAAACCACATAAACAAAAGTGAAATTTCGGATTAAATACACGAACGATTAGCTGAACTCTCCCTCCAAAATTGGCATAGAGATGTAGAGAAAAAGACATATGGCGTTGTCCATAGTGTATGAAACCAGAAAAAGAAAGGAGAGAATAAGAGATATTCGAGGAGAATATCCCACTCACTAATCTAACAACTGGAAAAAGAAAGCGTCGCAGATCACCATTGTTGTGTTGATGTCGAAGTTTCATGTTTTCTAGCTGCTGTCTGTGAAGTGTGTGCGCGGTATATTTTGCCGTCCTAAATTTTTTGATTGTACGTGGAGAGAATATACGTATATTTGTATGAAACTACCTTTTTGATTTCTTGCGTGACAGGTAAATCCCCAAAGGATTAGATTTGGAGTGTGGGAGACATAATTAAAAAGCATGGGGAATGGTGAAACATAATGTTTGTTTATTTAAGGTTTGCCGATTACTACAATGAGGAGGTCTGTTTTATTTTGATCCTATGTTACTTTGTACGTGGAAGGAATGATGTGTCCACTTAGAGCAAGTTCATCCATTTTGGGAGGGTGAGGGTAATGGTAAAATACTTGAATTGTCCTTATTATTCACTATGAGCAGTAATTATCTTTGTGCAGTTCTATCCGTCTGAATATGGCAAAAATGATTACTATTCACAAAAATATTTTTTAGAAATAAATGTGAACTTTGTAGGTTTTTTTTTTTTTTTTGGGGAAAATAAAATGATTGTCTAATTCCAATAAATGATTTCAAATACAAGGCAAAAACATACCATTACAACAAGCATTATTAATTAAACTTAGGGGATAAAATCAGTGTGGCTCAGTCTGTTTTCCCTTGGAGTGTATGGATCTTCCGTGGAATGAAAAAGATGGTTGGGTAATTATAAATTTTTTAAAAATGTTTTTGGATTTTTGATCGCTGGATTAGTCCTAGCCATTGATTTCTAAATTTTTTTAAATTAGATGAACCAAATTGTACCACGTGGCACAACAGAAAAATTTTCATTATTTTACCGTTGGCCCACTACCAGCGGGCTCAAGGCCCCGCTATTACGGACCGTGTTCTACTTTGCCCTCTTAACTTTTAATTTGATCCACGAGCCGCATATATTTTTAACTTGTGTCAATGTCCTTCCGATGTTATAAGTAGCATGATCGGCCTCTTCTCTCTCTCTCTCTCTCTCTCTCCCCCAACACATTAACTGCAGTGCAGATCGAAACACCACAAGGAGCATCACGCTTGTTGAAAGGAAAAAAAAAAACGAGAAGGCGGCGTCGGGGTCGCCAAATTCGGTACTATTCTGGTTACGTGGAAGCGACATAGGTATTTCAGGGAGTGTGAGAGATGAGAACCTTGTTTATAAAAGCCTTGCGGCCCTGCCCAATTTTTAACTAATGGGATATTGGCCCAAATGAACCATGGGTTTGGGGCCCTTTGGGCATCATCATCACTACTTGAATTTCCGGCTCATTTGGGGGGGGGGGGGCGGAAAACATGAAGAGACTCAAAAGGGAAAGAAAAGCAATCCCTCCTAGTCACTGAAAATCGTTAGCATCATCCTCAAAGTTTTGAATGCAGGAATTAAACTGAAACATAGTGAATGCACGGGTACCTTAGCGCTAGCGATCAACCGCTAAGTGAGAAGCCGAATCCAGAAAATACACCTCACGGAAGCTAAAGTCTTGTCCTTCGATATTTACTTGTGAACAAAAATGCACAGGGCTGTTTTAAGTACCAGGGCAAAATCCAAATCAGCCAAGTTATGGTCTCAGATGTTGAAACCGCGCCCACACCGAGCGCCGGACCACATCCACAGGTGGTGGGTGTTTTCTGCGTCTACTGAACCTTCAGGGGTAAAGACGTTGAAGAATAGCATTCTATCGAGTCCTACAAGAGGTCTCGTCGCCCACTTAAAGTCGATGTTTTCTAAATTGAAGACAATAAAACTTGAGCACAGACAGTTTTTATTCAATCCCAAAACGTAAGTACAGAATAGGGTTCAACACACTCTGATCCTTGGAAGGGCTTGAATGTCACATAGCTTTTAGCAGCAAATTTCCGCACGCGAACTATTCTTGCACTGCCCAAGCTGAGTTGAGAAAAGATGCGGATGGACTGACAAACGTCTCAATTCCATTCCCGTTCAAGGTGCCCAGGAACAGGCCCTGCATCACATGGCATGGAAAAGGATAGTTCACCATGAATGCATGCACCATTCCTTCCATAGAAAGTGAAAACAATTAAAACTCTTACATATATACATTTATTTCATCAAATAGCGAAATACGATGAAAACTGAACTATCTAAACCAATCCAGAGTTCATACTCAAAATAACAATTACAGAAATCGATGGTCACCGCAATCAAATAACAAGCAACAAAGAAAAACTGCAAATGCATGGTGCATCATGTAATATTCATTCACGAAAATCTACCACTACCACCCGCTGAACCAGATACAGGGGCAATAAGAAGAGATTTTCGCAGACGACTAGAATATAAATAAAACAAGGACCACAAGCAATGGTAGACCAATAGTTCTTACTATCGTGCATGGTCCTCAAAGATTATATCGACCCAAAACACTCTTAAGGGCTCTCAGTCTCTAAGAAATTTCTTCACAACAAGCCAACAGTAACAAAAACTGAAGAACCACAAAACTAATACCATAAAGCCATCAACAACAGAGAAGAATTGAAAAGACCTGCTGACAAAAGTGATGGCCTTACCTTGTTCTACTATACACATTTACATCTGAGAAAAGTACAAGCATGTTTCATAATTCATAGCCCTCGAAGAATACCAAGCAACTAAGCTGACGTGAATAAATTGGGAAACAACCTACGCTCGCTCTTAAAGGGTTCTAATGAAGAAAAATTCCAAATAACTTTCGCATTTTGGATAAATGCCGAAGCGTTGAAATGGAAATACTTAAAGTTGTGAAATTCAAGCGTTGCCATGGGAGAGGTAGAAAGAAAAAGTTGCTGGTTGTGGTCCAAATGAAAGAGTACCCATTAATTTCCTTAGTAAAACACGATGCAAGAACCCATGGAGGAGAGAGGGTGCATAGGGAGTTCAGTAACAGAAGAAGAAAGCAATGTAGTCAGTTTACATCGCTACATGTTATAAAACCTATGTCTGCCATTTAAATCCAAAAGAAAGAGTGCTTATTATCTTCTTACATTTAGCATGATGTACTAGGACATGTTCACCTTGTGTTTCAGTGGAAGAAGGTAAATTTCACATAACTTGTTGACACAGTTCTTTTAACATAAGTAAAAGTGGCCAAATCTCCTTTCTCTTCTCCATGACGCCAATAAAGAGACACACGTTGTAACGTTAACTAAATGCCCTTAGCTCTAGGTCGTTTGTCAGTCCAAAAACCATGGAGGGAACATGAGAGATGAGTGTCGAAAGTATATAGAATCTTAGAAGTTCCACTTACTTTGCGTTACGACAATGTTATAAGCACATAACAAAATAGGCAACGTATAACAAAGTAGTACGGAAGCACAACTTCAACAACAGCTAAACTCTACGAGTGAACACAAAATTACAAGGAATAAAAAGTTGATATAAAAAAAACATGCTTCAGCAACGAACACGCAGTGTTACACTCCCACAGAGTACGACATAGTTCAGAGAAAGTGAAGCACAACTTCAACAATTGTAAATTGTAATATTCTCAAGCAAACTCAGTAATCTTCCGATAAGTACAAGACCCGGCATTTCGAGTGAACACTCCTAAAATACACTCAATATGCACAAGTATCAAGCAAATGGATTTATTTGGGGATTAATTAAAGTGAAAGGGGTTAAAATTTATACCCAATGTTAATAAGACTGCTGAGGGAATCCATAAGCTGCTGTTGCTGGGGATGCTGCGAGTGCTGCTGCTGCTGCTGAAGCTGCTGTGGTCGCAGACAAGCACCGGCTGCCACGGCGGCTGCGCTGGAAGGAGCCCCATTTGACTCGGAAAATCTCCACATATACATCGTCGCTACAGACCGGTATGGCCGCCACTTTTCGCACAGCTGCTCCATCTGCGACGGCCGAGGCAACTCCTCGAGATTGTACAGAAGCTGAACGCCTTTTCGGATTCCGAGGTCGTTGATCGGAAGCACGTCGGGCCTGTGCAGCGAGTTAATCATGAACATGTGCACAGACCAAGACCCGATCCCGTTGACCATCGTCAGCATTGTGAACAACGACTTGTCGTCCATATTTACAATCGCCGAGTCCGACAGAATGCCGTTCTGGTACTTCCGCGCCAAGTCGTGGAGGTAACTCGCTTTCCGGCCCGAAATTCCGATTTGCCGGAGCTGCTGTGGCGTCTGGGCGAGCACGGTTTCGGGTACGACGCAGGCCTCGCCGCCGCACAGCCCGATGAAGCGCGTGTAGATCGACGTGCCGGCCTTGTATGCGAGTTGCTGGTAGAGAATGCTGCGGGTTAGGGCGAGGAAGGGTGTGTGGAAGTTGTCGAAGGTCGGCCGCGGGTGGCGGTCGATCAACGGAGCTAGGAGCGGATCAGCGTTTCGGAGATAGCGAATCGCCGTCTCGATCTCTCCCTCGCAGGAAAGCGGCCGCGCTACGATTTTGGGCGCCGCAACGGCGCGCTGCGGGACGGTCTTGATCTTGGAGGCCTTGGTGGCGGCGACGGGTTTGGGAGTTTCGGATACGGCGACGATTTGATGGGAGGAATTGGGGTCGGCGGTATCGGGCGAGAGCTTCCGGATCTTTCGGGGGCGGAACGGGATTTTGGAAGGGGGGGAAGAGGTCTTGGACGGAGCATTGCTCAGTTCGGTGGGTGTGGGGCCGACTTGAGCGATTGTGGTGTCGTCGATGGAGTCATGCTGCGGCGGCGGCTGAGCCGGAGTCGGAGCCTGAGTGGGAGTCTGGGGCTGGTCTTGGGCTTGGGTTTGGACCTGGGTTTGCTCGCCCATATGTGGTGAGTGTGTTTCAAAATCAATGGATGGGTTGACTGAGAATACGTACGGCGGTGGCTGCTTCGGTGTCGGTGTCGGCGGAGGTGGCGGAGTGCGCGGTGGTTCAGTTGGAGGATGGAATTGGAGACATCAAAAATTGGGAGCGTTTGTGTGTAGAGAGAGAAGGGAAGGGAATGTAGTTTAAGAATTGACTGTAACGAGTTTCCGAACGAGTTTAAGCGACAAACTCAGAAGTCTTAACTCAGTCGGATTTGTATTTTTATGTTTTGATTTCTCCTCTCTCTCTCTCTCTCTCTCTCTCTCTCTCACTGCGAATCCGAGAGTCCTTTAAGAAAGCAACAGGTGGCGTCCGTTTTCTCCTCCGACAAGTAAAAAAGTTCATCCTATAATAATAAGGATAAATTGCAGCAATGAACCTTGTAGTTTAATCAGTTTTTTCTTTCGTCCTTATAATTATGTTGTTTTACTTTTGTCCTTGTAGATTAGTTCCATTTTCACTATTAGTCCAACACATTAACTTCATCTTATGTCTTCTTCTTTATACATATTGGTTATGGTGGAGCATGATTGGTGTGTTCCCCGTCCGACGTAGTTATTATGATCATGCGTAAGACAATCTCCCAATTTTGAATGTTCAGGAGATGACCTGTGTTTTGAAGATCTAAGCCTTCTAAACCAAAATGCATAGTCGCATCATGAACATAGGTTTTTTGGTCGTAGAATGTAATAATCAATAGTATATATTTATTTGATTTACCAAGTCTTTCTTATGTTTTGTGCAAATTAAATTCCAAGTCATATTCAGCCACATATAGAGTTTGGTGGGTATCTTGGTCCAAAATTCGATGTACATAAAGTATACATGAATAAAAATAGACGTTGGAGTTAACGGATTGGACCAATAGTCGAAATGAAACCAATCTATGAGGACAAATATGAAATAAAATAATCTAGAGGGATAAAAGTGAAATATAACTATGCCACAAGGTGGATTTCTGCAATCTAACCAAATGAAAAGTTAATAAACAAAGAAGTCCAATTAGGGCTTTGGTGTGCGACGCTCCTCTGAGCGCGTGTTGCACGTGAGTAACCATTGTGTTCTTTGCAAAATTGCAGTACAAATTGATTGTTCTTTTTATTATATCTTATTAAACATGCCTAATTTGATTAATAATGACCTTGCTCATCCATGGAGTTGCATTATTACCGCTAAGAAATATGATTATCCACCGTTAATTAGTAATGTTAGTTGGCTTGGATTACTTAGGGCTCATATATATGTGTTTTTAAAATGATTAAAAGCGTTTTTGGGGAAAATGTTTTTTTATATCAATCCTTATAAAAATCCAAGTGGATTTTGGAAAAAACCTTTAAGTGCTTCTTGAAAAAAACTCATATCTGGTGTTTCTTTCAAAAAACACTTAAAATATTTTTGGAACTCAAAAAAACCCATAACAGGCTTGAGGACTTCTGGTTCTGGAAGGCACGTGAGTCTGAACGCTGTGTTGAATGTGCAATCGACACTACACTACATAGGTACCTGTGCAAGTGAGGCGTCGGTCGGTCCTATAAATTGCACTAGCGGTGTGAGGAGTTAACAACTGGACGTGTTGCAACCTAGGGATCACCAAGCAGCTCTTTCACTCTATAGGGATTGAGATACCTCATTGATAAAAGTTTATATCTTAAATTGTTGTGGTGAAGTTCGTCATGTTTTAGGCTTAGCGTGAATGTTCCGTCGAAGAGTTTAAGTTTGTCATGTTTTAGGCCTAACGTGAATGATGTCAAATTTTTATTAATTATTTACACGTACGACTGATATATAAAGTTTTTTTTTTACGACAAGTACTATCTTTCGACTACGTTATTACCATGTGAACTGTTAATCCGGTAAAGCCTATTAAATATTAATGGATCGGTTGTACAACAATACTAGAGTGAACTCGACTGCCTTTTGGACAATTAGGGCCCATTATCAAAACAAAACTTTGGAAATGTAAACTGTAGATTGGGCCTTAAACATCACAATTTAACAGGCTTAAACCCAAAGATCTCGTCATAAACAGAACTAAATTTCCGGCCCCTCTCCTGCATATCAACGCAAAAGGTGGTAAAAAAAAAAAAAAAAAAAAAAGAAACTTTAACGAAAAGCTTCCAGTACTGTTTACTTAACAAAAAATCACATTTTTACACTAAAAAAATCAATCATGATACTATTCACTTTACCATTTATTTTGTCCTTATCGTTAAAACTCTAAGTTTTAAAGTTTTTTTCATTAGTTTTCCTATAAAAAAAGGTTGAGATTTAATCAAATCTTATTCGTGAAAATCAATATGCACGTCAAAAACAATTTCCATTCAAAACTTCGTATAATTAATTGATGCATTAAAATATAAATGGATAACAGAGTTGATATATTATAGACATAAGTAAATATTAACAAATAAATACACATTTTGTAACATGTGAAGATTAATAATATTATGTGGCGATGTGAGTGCCATACGAAAATTTCCACACAAAGGAGAAAGTTTTACGCATGTAATTCTCATGTAACCTGGTGTAAAGATAGGGTAGTTTTAATCTCAAATATCATCTCCTTGGTATAAAACTAAAGAAAAGGGGGTTAAAAACTCATTATATTTGATTGGCATAACGATAGTGCCGTGTTATGTATATATAATTTTTTCTTATATAAAATCATATTATTGACACAAAAATGTTACAGTTGTTGATGCACAAAATCAGCGAGGACTTTGGTATAACAGAAAGTGTCAGGTTTGTGACCTTCGCTTGGTTGCTTCGATCACTAGTGAAGATAAGTACGTAAATGAATAAGGACAGGGAAGCAAACACAAGATGTACGTGGTTCACTCATATCGGCTACGTCCACGGAGTAGAGGAGTTCTCATTAATTGTGAAGGGTTTACACAAATACATAGGTTCAAGCTCTCATTTTGTGAGTTCTAGTGAATAGTTTAGTACAAAATGACATTAGAGATTATTGTGGGAGAATGATCCCTATTTATAGAAGAGAGTTTCTAGTTTTGTTCTAACATTGACACGTGTCGTGTTGTGATTGGCTTCTGATGTTGACACGTGTCGAGCTGTGATTGGCTTCTGATGTCGACACGTGTCGCATTGTGATTGGCCTCCTGGTTGAAGGGAAGCTCTTCTGGGTCCTTGACGGTATAACGTTGACCGGTGCTCAGTAGTTTCGGGATTGGTCAAGTATGGTACAAACAACAGTAACGACCCTTCGTATTATAAAGTTGATCTCTATGTATATTGGTACTAAAAAAGAATAAGATGAAGTTTGAAAGAATCTCACTCAAACTATACCGCATATACCAAAACATGATGACTCCGTTTGTCGTAGAATTGGACCAACAAACAGCGACGAATGGTTTTGTTTGGTATCCACGTGCACCATGCATGCAAGTAAATTTATTAACAATTGATTTTCGTACTCTTCATTTTTTCGGTTCTAATATCATATAAATAAATAGACAAAGACAATAAACGTTGAAAGAGACACTGAGGACGTGAAAATTACGACAACAAAAAGTTCTTATTTTACATAGGACTCATCGATTTTCGATGTACAACACGTTACTCGCGATAACGTACGAAAGTTGGCATTTGTAAGCTTCAAGTTTTGATCAAGACATTGATTGTGACTCTTATGAAAGGGTGCCTCTAAAACTAAGGACTGTTAGGTATATGTTTAGAACTGACGAATCCAATTCAGCAAGTAACCCAATATTGTAATCAGGTGTTTTTTTTATAAATAAAGTACGATATTCATTTTATAAGGGAACAACGTATAATCAATGGGAATAGTGCTAACAATAGCCTCAATAAAAACATTTCCGATGAACAAACCCGAATGAAGGGAAAAAGAATGTCTCGCACCAACTAAATTAAGAATTAAAGTGATCCTTCAAAATAAGATCAGATATTACATCGGGAGGTTCTTCAAACCAAAAACTGGATGGCCAAAGTGAGACCACACGTGATGAAAAATGCAGCAGATGTCCGGGCATTACTTGAACTCGTCACTGCCCGATGTTCAGCACTTTTCAGCTTCCCATTACTGATTATCTACATCCCCCATACCATAAAAAAAATAGTTTGTCATATGGTAATTAAGAGAAGGTTGATGAACATATTTATGGAACTACTATCAGGCCCCTATTTCGACATGATATTGACAGCGCTATGTAGTCAAGTATAGATGGTAATACAGAATCAATAATACCAGCGAAATAATCTTCAGCGTAAAGAAGGGTACTGAATCTACTGATGTACCTGTAACTGATAGCCTATGTTAATCACAAGTGCATCAGAAAGAGGCTTCACACAAATCCATTCCCCGTCTTTGAAAACTTGAAGTCCATTTACGTGTTCTTCTTGATGTAAAATGGTTATGAGGTTTGGATCACAGTGCTTAGATACACCTAATGTCAAACTTGGGTCTGAGCAAGGCGGGTAATGATTAACAAAACAAAGAGTAACATATTTTTCAAAAGTTCATCTCTAAAATACCCAGTTCCAAGCCCAAGTCCTTCACTGATTAGCTCCAAAATGTTCAGAGAGCCAGTTTCCTCACTTGTGAGGAACATGTCCCAACAAGCTCTCTGAAATACATAACATCACTAATTAATCCTTGAAGATACAGAAGCATATCATACATATATATGTAACAAAAACAAAGGGAGATTTCAAAACATGAATCTATAAGATCTTTTATGTAGGTAGAACGTCTGCTCATAAAGATGTAGCCATTTTTTATTAAAAATCATTGGAAGTGCTTCCTGGGGCTTATGTAAAAAGAGTTTTTAAGTTTTGGAGAATGATTTCCACACACCTCTTTTCTCTCTTTACACACCCTTGATTCTAACTGTCAAATTGAATAAATCAAGGAGAGTTAATAGACATATATGAAAATGGATGTGTAAGAGGAGAAAGAGGGCATGTGAGAAATCGTTTCCCTGACATTTTCTAACACGTGTCAGAAGCACTTTTGGCTGTCAAAAAATCTCAAAAATCACTTTTAGCTAATACAAGCTCTATATATCTTAATTTGGTAGATCGATCTTAATTACTTACCGATAAGTACTTGGCTGTTGAGGCCAATGCTTCATGCTCTCCTCTAAAGGAAGACAAGGGTGTCGTAGGTTATCACGCCAAAGATGAACATCTTCCCAATCATAATTTCCACTGCTGGTAAAGAGTCTACATATTTTTTTTGGGTCCTCAGAGTAGACAGCTGCCTTGTCCTCTGCAGGCAACTCAAAGAACTCCTTG